TATTCAAATACTCGGTGATCATATGCATCTATCCAACGTAACAGATTCAATAAAGGTTTGGGGATGAGCCGCTAGATAACTTTAGCTTTCTTTTGTTATGTAAACAAATGTATTGTCAGACCTCCACATTAGTTTTTTGAGTTGTCTTAGTTTAGATCTAGGTGTGCGATATAATATATTGCAGTTACTACAATTGCAAACTGCAAGTTGTCCAGATTCTATTGAGATGCGATTGTGTAAACAAAATTAGCAAAATTGATCTGCTGTGCAGCTTGACTTTTCAGTTTTTTTTTTTTTAATATATATTCAAATTCACACGATCTGTAATGTTATTGTTATATCAAAATAATATGCTGTCACACTAGGTATTAGGTTTGTGTTAGTAGTCAAATCATTAACTGCCACTTCACTCAAAAACAACAAATAGGCGACCTTCACCGACGAAATAAAAACATTATAAATGTTAATATAAGTAAAACATTTATTTCAGTAAAATTTCTATAAATAAATAATTGTGTCATGATGGGGCGCTAACATCCGCATATCGGGCTTATGTTTAAAATATTTACAATTGTTACAAATAATTTGTATTTTCTACAGGAATAATCAATAAATAAATTACTTATTTAATACAACTCATGTGACAAATTAATTTGAAACACTTAATATATGACAGAATGTTTATTAATGTTGACAAAAGTTATTAATCTAGGGCGAAATCAATATCACTGGCATCCTTAATCCATTTACATTAAGTTCGATTTTAACTCATTATTTCTGAGGAGAAAATATTCAGTTTCACTGGCAGGACATGTCATAAAACTATATTACACCAATGATTCTAAATTCTAAAAACTATATCTTTGTCACAATAACAATGTACCTATCCTACCTACAGACAATTTATATTTCCAATTAAATAATCAAAGAGGTAATATATTTAAATAGACCAAGGAGTTAGAGAAAGAGGTCGCGTTACCCCATTTGTCTCTGTCTAATCCTTAGCAGAACAATTCCAAGGTATATTAATAATGTTCTTTGCTGTGTGTGCGTCAATGGAGACACCGAGAGGCTGGATACCGTGATCTTCTTTCTCTTTCTCATTGTTTTAACCGAAAGATGTCAGTCAGACGTATGTCTCTAATACCTCTATGAAGCATTCCAGGCAGCATTCCACGAAATTTTTTTATTGGACACACAACGATTGAATTTCAAAAGCCAATTATAAACCAATTAAATCAATGTTACCGTTTCGATAAGCACTAGCAATAAAGTTTGAAAACCCCACACAGTAACTAATATGCACGAAAATGAAAAAGATTTTATGACTTTGCCAAACGGTAAATTTATATAGGAATAAAACATTAGGAACTTTATAAACTTAATACAATAGGTGCTAAAAGTTAAATTGGCAAAAAACTCTAAAGGTAGTGGGTTAATAATTTGAGGTGAATTGAATGAGCAATAATTGGTAGTGAGCGGTTTCTTTACCACCACGAATATGTCCAAACACAAAGCAAACATTTTGGAGCACATCTATCTACAAGAGCCGTAAGAAGAAGCTAAAAGTTAATGAAATATCTACCAAATGGAATGAACAATTTTGGATAATCTATTGATATTATTTTAAAACCTTAATTTTAATAAAATACAGTGAATATAAAATATTTTAATCGCACCATACGCACAGCTCATGCGTACATAACCGTAGTTCAACAAACATTATACGAGGGTAGTTTGAAAAGTTCTCGGCCCGACCAAGAAAACAAACAAAATAAAAACATGTTTCATTTTTCTACATATTATCCTCTTGTCTCAATACAATAGCACTTGACGTGCGATTAAATAAAAAATGGAGCTGTCGAATGACAATAAATTAGTTTGCATACTACCCACAAATCTCGGTCAGGCTGAGAACTTTTCAAACCACCCTCGTAGTAAACTGCTTAATAATAACAAAATCATCAGCCATCACCATATTGTTTCATAAGTTGGAATATATCAGACATATCTTAAAGTGTATGTGTGGCGAATTATTAAGATATTTTAAGTAATCGACAACGGACATTATGACAAAAATATCTTCAACAATGAGATCATCGAAACAGTTGAAAACACTACATTCGACAGACGGCAGCGCGTCAGGTAAAAAAAAACTATCAAAATTCTCCCCTCGACTTTAAATCTTAATACATTGAGGGTAGAGTAAAAAATCAACTGCTATTTGATATATTGTGCTAACCTGAACTGTTGCTGTGTTCATATACATTAACGTTGTGGGTTTTGGCAATGAAACTACATGTACGGCCGGCAACAAAACTCTTTGTACGTTTCAATCGTCGCGGTTCACAGAGGGCGTTTCAATTAGTATTGTCCACTCTGCAGCACGTCAGGTTACTCCAAATCAATTCAATCTGACAGTTAAGTTCAAAATAATTTGAAGAAATTAGGGCCATTATTGATTTACATAGGTTTGCCAACATTTGTTTACAATATTCAAGATATAGTACCTACTTATATATTTTAACTAAAGCCTATTCCTAGTTCAAGCAAAAAACATATTTGTGTCATTGTCTCTTTTTCTGTTTCTTCTCCTGCCTTTCTATATTAACTGCTGTTAGGTATTGAGAGAATTCATACGTAAATAGCTTTCTTTAACATAATGCAATTTTAAAATACTTCTAATGGAAAAAATATTGGCAGACGAAACCCCCTTTGCTGCCGTCCGTAACAATAATTGTTTTTTATTATCTCACGGCAAAATTTTCCTAATAACAATCACCACTTTTCACCAACACAAGCGACACTCATCATCAACAATTTAAGTACTTATACATGAAAATTGGTACTACAAGTATAGTTCTTGTGACCTATAACCTTCAACATCTGCAACTTATCATGTGAAATTAACACGAAATAAAAAGTTTTCTGAATCCCTACTTCAGGAAGACATAAAAACAGTACCTAATGTTTAAAATAGTATTCAACCTTGTACTAATACGTACATATTTAATTAATCTTTTTTGAGGCCAAATTTTAATAACAGTTACAAACACAAACATGGGTTTATAAATTGTTACTTCAAATTGGAATGTAGCCAAAACGATTTGGATATAATTCAATAATGAACCAGACACCTTGAGAACGACAGACGACAACAGTATAAAAACATAATAATAAAAAAAATGTGTAAATAAAAAAATATAATGTAAAAATTATCATCATATCAAAATGGACAGAGTTTGTGACACTTATTGCACGTTAGTTTATATCAACTGAAGTATTTTATTGATAATTAGTTTTAAAACCATGAACATACTATATGTACAAACTTTAAGGGAAAATGTTCAAAATTTCATATGGGAATAAAACCTTATTAAATGTCTTAAAGCTAATCAAATTAAACTATTCAATAAAATCTTTATAATCACAATAATTCACATCATTTCATTTAGGTACTGTGTGCAGAATAATTTACAAAATCCCATCCGCATCAAAGAGTTGTCTAGTACAGGTGCGTTCAATGTGTATTTCCACACTTAATAAAAATATACACCTACACATAGGTTGAACAAAATATGCCGATGGCATTTTTAAAAAGTTCACGCAATGTTTGTTATGTATGTGCCACGTGATAAATACAACTGTTACAATATGAATTTACATATACAACCTTACGCCTACAGAGTATGGAACTGTGTAAAACTGAACTTTAACCAGTAATTTATAAACTAAAATTATTTGCATAAGTGCCGACAGAAATAGAAACAGTTGAACCTCAATAAATATATGTTAGACTTAGACGTTTTGTAAAGGTTTTATTTGAATGATAGCAAATTAATAAAATGCAAAAGGACTTTCAACGTTTAATTTTTTTTAAATTGGCGCCCGTCGAGTTTATTTCGTGATGTTTTCAATGTTGATAAATTTATTGTTATATCAAAAACATGTTGTTTATTATTTTTAATTAAAACAAATTAGATATTAAAAAAAAGAATGTCGAACAAAACTAAAATTAATACTTTATGTGCTTACGAGTATCACTATAGTATATGTATAATATGCACATAAAAAGATAAAGATTGTGACATAAATCAAAAAGAGTGAGTTACTATAAGATAAAAAGAGAGGGAAAGAAATGAAATAAATGGATGAACGCACAACCGTTTTTTGTTCTGTTAATAAACGAATTTGGCGGTCGAACGCACTTTTGATATTGAAAGTCAAAGACCAACTTTACACAGTCCGTAACGAATAATAAAAATCTAAATTAAGCTCAATGCCGATTCACTGGATATCGTATTTAATAAATAAACTTTGTGATGACCTTCGAAAAAAGAAAATGGTATTTTGTAAAAATCGATAGTACACACTTAAGAACATTAAGAAAAACAAGTGATTAAAACTATATAATTACGGCCACGCTTAAGTGTCCAATTAAATACACCTAAGTTAAAATAGTTTTAGAGTATTATAATTGTTTTATAGAACAAATCGCAATTAAAATCAGACATCTTCATTAGAAGCGTTATGTAAAACAAGGACAATGCCTCTTGCAATTTTAATTTGATAGGCATTCTCAATTAAAAACCTGTCATAGCCATTATAAAAATGCTCATTACACAATATAATAATTTCATTAGATTATAAGAGTATTGAGAATTTGTGAAGAAATAACATTTCAGTTCTAAACCTAATACTTCCTGTCACTTTCGTGTCTATAAAAATACAGACAGGAGTCACAATGAGTATATAGTATACCTTTTAAGTCAAGAGAAATATATTTTTTCGAGTACTAAAGAAGACTAAGACGATTTTTAACCGACTTAAAAAAAGGAGTACACACACATGCTTATACATTATACAGCAGTGGTATTCTGTTAAAAATAGATCGTCTACCGACCGCATAGCAGGATCGAAAACTGTCGTAGTATTAAAGGTTTAATAAAAAAAGTCGACTCCAAAAAGTATTACGGTTTTTATTTTACCTTTGTACTATGACAACGCCGTGTATTTTATAACGGAATAGCAAAACTGGAACATGGCATTTTTAAATTATTAATCTCCGTGAATGTATGAGTAAATGTTAAAATGGAATTGTGCTGTACTATCGATTATACAAATTACATTGAAGACAAATCTCACGAGATGGTTTCTACACGACCCGAAGGTCGAATTCTGACATCACATGAAATTTGTAGTACCTACACTATGACTGAATAAAATAGACAATATTATCACATACACAGTATAAAAAAGCCGAAAATACAATTAAAACCAGTATACACAAACAAAACGACAAAATAAATAAATAATAACATGCACAAAATACAACTCATTTCAAAGACGATGAAGATGAAAAAGCTGACTTAATGCTTAAGTAATTTGAACTGCACTTCGGTTGTACTTGCACTTTACTTGAACGACATTTGAATTTTTTCACGGAGCCTGTGGTAAGACCCTTAAATCTGCATCGGAACTGCGCTTTTATAACCGAGCGTATTCGATAGCGGTACATCAGAGACTTTTTCAAAATGTATTGGTGTGTATCACAAATAATAGGGGTGCTAAGCTATCTCGTGGTTACGAAACCGTTTATTACACATACGTGTAAGTTTAACTTCCTAATCTCGGTTTACTACCTCCTGAGGAACACTGTTCTTTCTTGACATTGATTTTCTTTCCGATCAGCGCGTCTTGTACACCAAACGCGTTCGCCTTCGTTGATTCACTGTTGCTGCTGCGTAGGGAAATATCGATTAAGGGTATAGATTACAATTTGACTAATAATGAGTGCAAAAAATAATATATACAAATGTGATTCATACTAAACTTGTGCAAATATCGCTTGAGAAGAGAAAATAATATATTAACCCAATTGCAAAAGAGTGTATTTCATTTAAATTTATCTATCACGCTGAATAGACCAAATGTTCATACATATCTAAAGTTTCGTTTAGAATTAGTTCCATTTGGTTTTACCTATGTGAAAAATGTTTAATTTCGAAGCCTTTTCAAACAATATACTGTGAATCAAAATGTAAAAAGCAGTACACTCAGCAGTAGAGTTCTAAACTTCTCTACACTACACTATATATTCAGCGGGTGCCATAAAAAAATAAATACAAATATATATGTAACACTTCTTGCTTCTCGCTGCTTGTTATTTTATTACGTTTCACGTTTTACTCGAAATTCTCGAAATGCCCAAATCAATGAGGAAGTATTTAAAAAAAATTGTTCTCGAAATCAATCTAGATGTCGCTACAGTACGTTATTGATTTCTCCATGACAACTCTTCCGGTTTTCTTTCATGTTTAAAAGTAAAATAGTTTTCAAAACTCAATAAACAACTCATATTCTATTTGTACTTATTCGTATTTGTATTGATATCTAAGTTTCGAACTTTTCACATTTCAGTTTTTTAGTATGTTAGTAAAAAGGAACTGAAATGACTGTCTTTAGTCCATTCGTTTCCTGCAACAACTTTTGGTAGTGTCGCCATCTAGTGGATGTGCTTTTTTAATGCTTCCGTATTTTTTTAAATACTTCCTCATTCACACTTCTCGTCGCGCCGTTGATGTTTTGATAGTTGAGAATGTTATCGCATATAGTAAGTATAAATAGGGGATAAGAATCCGAAAATAATTATCGCTTTTTTTAAACCAATTATTTGATTTTATTATTGTGTGTTTTTTAAGTAACGTGATCGAGTCGCAGTGGGCTCGTTTTCTGGATCCAAGATTTCAAGTGTTATCTCTTAGCAAGTTATGGTTATAATTTATTTGTTCTTTATACTCTACGGCATTGTATTGGCATAATAAAGAAAATATAATTTAAACATCTGTTATGCACTGTACGTGCGCTGTTGCTAAGTATTAATGACGTTTATCAAAGAGCAGATATCGCCCATATGAAGCCAACACTCCATTTGTACAACTTAACTGAAAATCCGATAAGCCCGTAATGAATTTAACCAGCCAAATCTATATAACAAGTGATTATTTTCCTAATATCAATTAATATATAAAAAAATACTGAGTTAATTAAATGCTAAGTTAATAATTAGTTTTGTTTATTTTTAGACTGAATACATACTTTTATGCTATAAATCTAACCTAGTCCTACTCTTGTTTCTCCAAGGATATTTTTATTTGAAAATTTCGTAACGCTTTTATTTTAAGAGGTAATGACAAATATGTGAAACAGCTTTCTAAGTCTTGATATTTCATGTTGAAGTACTAATGGCGACCTTGTAAGCGATAAATCTACGGTTATGCAGCTGAGCCTGCGAACTTATGAAGAGAGCATTGAAATTAAGAGGCAACTTGAACTTTTTTCGGATCTAGGATTTATTTTATATATATATTTTTTATATTAAGAACAAGCTTATTACAATTTTTTAGATAGGTATGTCCCCATACTATATACTTCATGGCGCTCCGCCACCAGTTGTTCCAGCACCTATATATATATAGGCACCTATATATATAGGTGCTGGAACAACTGGTGGCGGAGCGCCATGAAGTATATATATATATATATATATATATATTATATTATAGTATTTCAAATTACTAAAATATTAAGCTTCAGAACGCTGTTGTACAGATTTGTCACGGGCTCTCCGTCTATTGACGTGACCATAGATATACGTTTATTCTTGATATTACAGAGATTCTTTAAATGATTCTGGTTTGGCTATAAACATATCAGATGTGTATTTCGATTAACTAATGAACATTTATTAAACCGATTTTGTATGCCTAAGGAAGACGTAGAAAGTGATAATATAAAAAACAATACAGTTACGAACTACCACTACCTTTGCATGACTCTTTCACGACAAAACAGAAACGAAAATGATTCATTTCCACACGTAGACCACTGACCGACGTGACAAGGACAACGTAGCTCACTCATGACGTTAATAAATATGATTAAGCCTTCAAACTAAACTACATTTAATCCATCAATACACGCAATTATAAACATAATTATCTTTCGGAAACTTAATCTATAGAAATTCATTGAAATATCAATCCATAAGTAATCAAATCAATGCACGTTTGGTAATAATTTTGCAACTCAACATTTAAAACAAGTGCTATTAGTGAAAACCAAATAGAAACTTACTAAATGAAACTTTGATAGGCATGAAGCACAAGCACTGCGGGACAATTTATTGGATTTATAAAACCTTCATTTTAAGTATCTAGACTAGACTAAGTTTTGACATTATAATAAGAAATTACAGCTCAATGAATTAAGCATAATATCATAATATTCGTGATTAAGTACAAAAAATGGGTCGACTCCGATTGAGAGGTAATAAACTGGAAACTAGATCTCATGTCTGCATCTTGCGTGACACACACGGATATTGCATAGGTACCTTGAATTGGAATATTAATTTATTTTAACCCGATTTAATATTTGTTGGCAACATAAATACACAGTCTGAAAATTTTTGTAGTGTCAAACGTACAGATAGACAGACGGTTGGACATCGAAGTATCTGTTATAGAGTTCCGTTTTCACTCTTTGGGGACAGAACTAGGGTTACCACCCGTACTTTATAATAAAGTATTGTACGTTATTTCAGACAATTGTACTCTATACTCTATAAGAAAAATAAAGTACACGAAAATACTTTATGTCGTATGATTTGATTTGTTTGTGATTTTGAAGCTTAGTCGTAAGTATTTTTTCGTTAAACAAAATTTATCGATTCATGCTGAATCAATAAATAAAAAGAAAATGTATTTTTAAGTTTAGTAATAAAGAAAAATAAATAATACTTTATTTTGATTCAATTTACTTTGTTTTTGTACCTATAATAACTAATGTACTTTATTTGGGGAAAAAAAAGGTGGCAACCCTTGACAGAACTCTAACAACTATGAAGGTCTTTTTAAGACCACAAACGAAACTTTTTACGAGTTTCCCACTTAATAACACTCCAATTTGACTGGGCTATAGTAGGAATAGACAGTATATTGTCTTTTTATAAAAAACTAGAAATCACAATTTCTTTATTTAGAACTTCATAAATGCGTCATATAAAAATCCATATATGTACCTAATTCGACACGCGCACATTTTTTCATTATCTGTTTTCTATCCCCAACATAATGATCGCCGGCTTGCATTATAGGTACGCCCCCGTAATTACAAAAGATGTTATCAGACATTTGTTTTGTATATCAAGGTCAACAGATGTGTGTGGAAAACGCGTGTGATATGACGTGAACCAATAACTACATATTACTGTGTCAGCGTTTCCCAATCTATGGTCCGTTAAAATCTAGGGGTCCACGAGCATACACCAGCGACGTTACATAATAGTAACATGGGGTCTAAGTCATTGTAGTAGTTGCAAAAAGCATCACCTCTACATTTTCTTTTTGTAATACAAATAAGTGATCAGTGTATTGCTTCCTTTAATAAGGCCGGATCCAAGGACTTATTTTATAATCAAGGACTAGGATTTTATAATCTATCACAATCCCTGTCCAAAGTATAGTGGTTGTGATAGTGATTTATGGAATTGTATATCTTATAAATTCACAATCGCTTTTGGAACAAACGATTTTAATGATATCAATGTCATAGACAATTCTGATTAACTTCTAATGAATGTTACCATTCATTCAATAATTAACAAAAAAACATTGCGATCGCAATTGCTATCATATGTGAAATAGATGAAGTGTGAAGTTCGTGCATTCAATGTCAAATTCAAAGTGATTGTGATAGATTTTAATATATACAATTACACAGTTATTATTGTTTATATGTTATTTTCTCATAATAATGATATTTAAAAAAAAAGTTTTATTCTTTTTAAAATAAATAGAGTGTGCTGTTACCAATTTAATGTAACGTCACATAGCCTATAGAACATGGACAACTAAGATGTTCATTTATCCAGTTACAATGAGTAGTTTTGAAGTCATAAGGGACATATGAACATTCTTACATACATACATACTGGCTAAAATCATAACCCTCCTTTTTGCTTCGCAATTGTAAGGATAAATGTATTTTTCAGAAACAATAAAAATGCTTTACAATTTCAGTACAATGTATGTCATTATTAGCAACATTATTGTTCAACAATTACATGCAGGAAGCATGCTGCGTTGTTTAAAAAGCAGTTTTAGTGACACAGAATTGTGTAACCATCACCAAACAAAATGAAATCAGTAAAATAAAGCTGTTGCAAAAATTGTTACTGAATAACTCATTTTTATAAAGAAAGTAACCCATATAATGCATTTTCCTCTTGTTAATTCAAAACTCAGTGTTATTTTTTTAAATAAATAACACAAAGGACTATTTTACATACTTAAATTATATTGAAAATATTTTTAAATTATAAGAAAATATTTTGTTTCTTTGAATTAACAAGTATACTTACTATTCAAAATATTGTTAGTATATATCAATTAAGCATTACTATTATTCTAAAACTCAAATAAATTTTATTTATAGTAAGTTATAAGCATGTAAAAATTTTATTTCTCACCTGAGCATTATCCTGAAATTCTCCAATTCCCTTATGCTATTAGACAGTCTTGCAAAAGCATTGAATAATGCTACTATTTCAGTCCTCTGTAGCCGTTGGACTCTGTGCCTCAATGGGAGAATGCTCTGATCTGGATCACCATCTGGGCTATCCCATCTACCAGAAAACAATATCTTGAGAGCTGTGCCTAATCCTTGCGTTTGGAGTTTGCCCCATAATTTACATTTGTCACATCCAACACAGTCCATGATCCGTGAAATGTTTCGGAAATGCTCACGAAACTCAACTTTCAATTTAGCAGCCTGAGTGCCTCCATTAAACATTGAAGACTCATTGAAATGATCTGGGAAACTGTATATTACGCCGAGCATGTTCTGAATCGCGCCTCGTGTCTCCTCATCCTCAATAGGATTACCTGTATAATATTCCTCCCTTTCTAAATAGGGGCCTGCTTTAGCTAATGCTCTCATTTCTAACAAATACACAAAATAAAGGTTTTTCAACCAATTAGGCCCTTCTCCTAATGTTTGTGAAGGATCAAAACGGCGTTGAAACTCATCAAGATTAGGGCCCCATTCTCCTTCAGGTGGTGCAGCAAATCCAACTCCTTTCTCAGATAATAAAAACTTGGAACACAAATGAATGTTTATACTGGTATGCATACCAGAAACTGCTCTGTAAAAAACTCTTTTTTCTAAACACATATTACTCAAATCTGTGCTCAACACATAAGGGAATGATTCATAAGGATTCAGTTTGGGCCGAAAACAGTTCTCCTGGTATATACTTCTCCATATCCTATGGGCTGAGGGACCTTTGTACCCTGTATATCGTTCTGGATTTAATGACAGATCAACATAATCAGCTTCTGCATCTCTATCATCATTTTCACAGAAGTTCTCAAGAGCGTCATCATATGCTTTCCATTTGGCAATTTCATATTGGCTGGCTGCACTAATAGTCATATTTAGGTAACCCAAATCAGGATCATGATCAGTATCACCATTACAATCTGACTGTGTTTCTTTAGAATACTTAGTTGCTGGAGACTCGTCGTAATGATCGTTTTCGTAACCGTCGGCGTAGCCTGGAACACTTTCTTTGGAACACGTCTTTATATGACAGTATTTCATGGCACATCGGCTGTCATCAGCCCAAAATGGGCATTCCTTCTTCAGATTGACCTTGTAGAAACGAAAATAATCCTTACTTACAAGGCTTTGAATGCGTGGGAAGATTTTTACATTATTGAAGTAATCTATAGTATCAACGTTACACGAACAGTCACCTAAAGCACCATGGAGCGCCTCGAAGCAGACATTGTTATCACAAGGTGGTGTTTCATACAGCTCTGCGTCGAAACCAACAGCTTGTACTTTCGCAAGAGCGCAAATTATAAACACAAAACAGTAATTTTTAAATGCCATTTCGTTTACTGGTATGGCCATAGCATTTGTGAATGACATTAAGTATACTATATATTGTTATAACACATTTAAATACATTTCTTCTTGAATTTACATAAAAGTGAAAGTCTGCACATTCACATTTGATCAAATAAGAAAAATGGTAAAAGCAGACGTGTAAAACTAAACGTACACTCACGCACAATGATGAAATCCGCACAACAAGCGAGTTCGGATCGCTTTCTGTCAATATCAACATTATGTCAAATATTTTTTAATGGCAAAAATATATGGTTCTCACAGCCAATACTTCAATTGAATTTTTGTCGTCCTTTTTTTAAAAACTATTTAATTTATTTAATTAAAAAATAAAAATTAGTTCTTGAAATCATACTAGATATCAGTATCACTCGCGATTTTTGGATTTTGTTTATGATATTCAATTCAAATTTTGTTTCTGACGGAATAAAAGTAAATTGAGTATTGAAAATTGATAATTATGACATCGTCTTGTTTTTCTTATAATATCTAACTTATAAATTAATTATAATTGATTTTAATCGTAAGTTTAAGTTGTTAACTATGTTACGTGTAAACGGAACGAGTTTATTCTTGGCTTGGATGCTTGTCCTTTAGCCGAAACATGTTACAATCACATTTACAAAATATAATATTCTATCTTATAAACTAAATTATTACAATTCAATAATAATCAGTATTCTAAAAATAAACAGAAAGTGGAATTACTAGAAAAAAAATGAACAAATACATAAAAAAACAAATGTCATCAAACTTAACCTAAACTTTATGATACGAAACAAAACAAACATTGCAAAGAACAAAGACAATTTAAATTATTAAAAGAACAATATAAACTTAAATTATTTACAAGAAATTAACAGTGTTGCATATATATTTGTATATAGTTAAATAGAACCTTGGCTCCGATAATATGTCTGTAATGCGGCGGGGAACACTTGTTTTCATCTCATCCGAAATTGATTGAAGTTCATTAGCGAACAGCAGTCTCTGGATACCAAAAGCAGAGCAGGTAAAGAATATGTGGTCAATGTCAGCATTTAGTTGTTGGCAGTGATTGCACCGACTATCAGCTTTTATTTTATGTCTGTGAAGATGACTTGGTACTAAGCAGTGCCCAAACCGAAGCCTGTTGATTGTAGTGATGAATTTTCTTGAGTCACATTGTTTATTATTATACCAAGGCTTCACGGGAAAACTTTCTTGTACACTAGCATACCAACTTCCTTTAGATACTTTGATTTTAGTCCAATAGGCTAACCAGAGTTTTTTAACTTCAGCTTTCACAATGTGGAAATAGTCAGTGAAAGGAATTATCAGTTGATCTGTGTGATCTTCATCATGTGATGATGTGAGAGCTTTGTCAATAATTTCATTTCCCGCTATACCTCTGTGGGAAGGCACCCATAAGAATTCAACAGTTATTCCATTAGTGCTCAGTTCATGTACAAGGTTTTTTATGTTATAAACTAAATAATTCAACTTATAATCTACTTTACAACCTAATAAAGCTAAAAGAACACTTTGTGAATCACTAACTATTAGAATATGAGAAATATTGACATTTTTTACATACTTTAAGGCTTGTAAAATAGCATAAGCTTCTGCTGTAAAAACACATGCAACATTATTTATGCTGAATACTCTGGTAAAATTTGTTTGTGGATCAAAATAGCCTGCTCGTACCCATTTTTCAGTTTTAGAACCATCTGTAAATATTTTATATACATTTCTTTTACTATTCACTATTTGTAAAAAATCAAAATTACTATCAATATTAGTCAATTGAACTGTACATTGGAAAAATAGTGCTTTATAACTACATTTGTAAAATGGCCAAATTTTATCATTACATATATACATATTTACACAAATCTTTGTAATTTTTGACATAATTGAACATATTTCTGGTGTAGTTCCATGCATTAATGAATCTTCAGTTACAATATGATCAGGTATATTTTGTGCTATTGTTGGTGGTAGCATCAAATTATTTTTAACTAAATGGTTATTTGAAAAAAGCACTTTTATACAGAACTTTTGAGCTAGAAAATATCGCCTTATTGAAAGAGGTGAGATGCAAGTTTCTACCTCCATAGCATTTATTGGTGTAGACTTCATGGCACCAGATATAATTCTTAAAGCAATATTTTGCAAAACATCTAATTTTCTCAGTAATGTTGAACTACAGTTCATATAGGCTAAGCAACTATAGTCAAAATGACTACGTACTATACTTTTGTACAATGTGGATAGTATTTTAGAATCAGCACCCCAAGATACTCCTGCCAAACAACGCAATAAGTTAATACCTCTATGAGCATTCCTAATAATGTAATTTATGTGATGTTCAAATTTTAATTTTGAGTCAATAATAACACCTAAAAATTTATGGTAATTGGAGACAGAAATTCTTAAATTTTTATATTTTACATTTATCTCATCATTAGTACCAAACACCATAACACAACTTTTCGATGGATTAATTGTAAGTTTCAGTTCATTTTCATAATATGCTTGTAGTTGCTGTAATGCTAAATTAAGTTTACTAGTAGCTGATTCAACATTTCTATTCACACAATATAAAAGTAGGTCATCTGCAAATTGCAGAACTTTAACATCACTGGTAATTCTGAGCATTAATTGTGAGGTATATAAATTATACAAAATAGGAGACAGACAGGCACCTTGCATAAGACCTTTATAAGCATTTTTAGGACCATGTAGAATGTTATTGAATTTAACAAAGACTGTTCTGTTATAATAAAAATGAAAAATCCATTTTATCAATTTTCCAGGAATACCAATATCTGATAAGACTTGAGACAATTGGTGTAAATTAACATTGTCATAAGCACCCTGAACATCAAGGAAGACGGATGGAGAATTGTTATGACTTAAGATGCATTTTTTAATGTCAGTCAGAAAAGTCACAAAGCTTTCAGATGCACTTCGGCCACGTCGGAATCCGAATTGATTTACTGGTAAGATATTGTGAGTTTCAACAAAGTAGTCTAGTCGTGTTTTTATCATGTGTTCAAAGAGTTTGCCTAAACATGATGACAATGAAATTGGTCTATATGAATTATGATGGTTTACTGGTTTGTCAGGCTTTAAGATGGGTATAATGCATTGGGTTTTCCAAGAACTGGGAATAAGTTGATTTTGCCATAATATATTATAAATTTGTAATAAAATTGATTGAGCAGATTTATGGAGCTTTTTAATCATAATGTATGGAATATTATCTAAACCAGGAGCAGAATCCTTTCGTGAACTTATAGTTGCAACGAATTCATCCCATTGAAATGGTTCTAATAACAAAGAAGTATTACTATTGCTATTGTTTAATTCAAATAGATGGCTGATGCTGTCATTTTGTTCTGCTGGTTCAGTGAATCTGTTTATAAAATTAGGAATCCACTCATCATTTTTAGAACAAGATTTACTGTCACTACCCTTGAACCTTCTAATAAAGTTCCATATGCGTGTAATAGGTGTATATCTATTAAAAGAATGGCATAAGTTTTTCCAACTGTTCTTTTTTTCTTCTTTTAATATAAGTTTTTTACGAGCGTCTAGCTTTTTATAATTAATGTAATTATCTAATGTGCAGTTATTTCTATATATTTGCAGAGATTTGCGCGAGTCCTGTACGGCGTTAGCACATCTATCGTTCCACCAAGGAGCCGGTCGATGAATCTTTTTACCTACTTTATTTTTATATAAAGGTATACACTCATTTTTTAACAAGTCAAGTATTAAACAAAAATTTTCATAAGTGTGAAATGGATTGTCATGATTTACAACAAAGTCTCTTACATATTCTTCAGACTTAATATAATATTTTATCCAGTCAGCTTTCCTATAAATAAACTTTTCAAAATCGTTATTAATTTGGTATAATATAGGAGATATTTTAATATTTATAAATGTTGGATAATGATAACTTCCTAATGGATCATCTCCTACGCGCCACTCGCATAACGGCGCAAAAGCTGGACTAATACAACTTATGTCAATTGCAGAGGTGTTTCTATTGTGAGACTGAACCGTTGTATGTTCTCCTGTATTTAATATGCATAAGTCATTGTCATCAAAAATTTCGAATATTTGTCTACCTCTAGAATTTGTGCTATGGCAGCCAAAAGCAATGTGATGTGCATTGAAATCGCCCGAAACCAAACACGGTTTCGGAAGGTTTCTAACGATATTATGTAATTTTCTAAATCGCGTCCTTTTTTCATTTCCAGGGGGACAATATATGCATAATATGGAAAGGGGTCCTCTATCAGTTTGAATTGAAATGGCTACGCTCTGGATGTCTTCATAAAAAGGAACTGTTATTGAATTGTATTTAAGAGAGTTTTTTATTAAAATACCTACACCACCATGTTCATTCTTTGCATTTTTATTTAAAAAGGTATATCCTGGAAAATTGATTTTCGCGGAAGAACTTTTCAACCATGTTTCATTCAACAAACACACATCTATGTTATTACTATTTACTAATGTACTAAGCAGTGGCTTTTTATTATTGATGCTCTGTATGTTGTGTTGCATTATTCTTAAATGGTCCATTAAGAATTTAGTAATTTTATAAATGTGTCTTTAATGTGTGCTACTGTTTTAGTAGTATTTGAATTACCAAGAGATATTAAGGTTTTCACTATAGTATTCATGATTTTTTCGTCATTGATAATGTCGCTTGGTTTCATTGAAAAAGGAATATCTACTTTTTTGTTTTTTTGAATTGCCACAACATTTTTTACTAGAGGTGGAAATGAGTTGGAATTTTTCAAAACATTGGAATAACTTCTTTTATTATATTCTAATTTTGCTATTTTAATAGGACACAACTTAGATATTGCAAGGTGATCCCCGCCGCAATTACTGCACTTCAGAACCTCCGAAGTGCAGTCTTTGTAGCAATGATCCTGCGAACATTTTGAGCATACCTGCACATTTCTACAGACTTTGGCTGAGTGGTTAAATTTTAGACATTTGAAGCACTGCATTACTGGTGGAACATATTCATTAACTTTGTATCTCCAATTATCTAAAAAAATATGTTGTGGCAATCTTGTACCTACAAAAGTTACAGAAACAGTTGTTAATGGAACTAAATCATTACCTTTTTTTTTCATAAACCTTCTAACTGAAATAATTTCACATTCTGATGACAATTT